CCCCCCAACTCCTGCTCGTCCAGAGGCCGAGATCCCTCATCCAGTCCCCGACCTCCAGCCTCTCATGTTCCACCTGGCCCGTCTCTTCCCGTCACCCCCATGGCGGAGTCCTCACCCTCCCTCCACCAGGCCCACCCCAGAGAGGAGTGGGTGGCACATCACCCAACTAAAGTGGGACTTCCCGGCCCGGAGAGCCAGATTCCAAGGTGCGGATGTGGCAGGCCGGCTCCGAGACCCGTTGCTATCTTGGAAACACCAGTTTTCGACATTCGCCGTCCCCATCCCTGCAGTTCCAAGCGTCCACCTCCCTCCCCTCCCTCAGATCCAGGCCCCTGATCCCCTTTCCCCGGGACCCAGGAGTCTCAAGCCTTGGTTTCCTCGTTCCCCCAGGCCCCTGCCCACGGACACTTCCTCCTGGGGCTTCGGGGCCCCGCTAATTCACCTTTCCTCCCGTGCAGCCATGTGGGCCCCCAGCCAACGGCAGCTCTGTGTGGCTTTCCTGCTAGTGTGTGTCCTTTCAGCCACCTTGTTCCTCTACGTCCACCAAGACCTCTTTCCCAACGGCCTGGCCCTGACGGCCCTGTGTCCAGGCCGCCGCCCGGTGCCATCCCCCGTGGCCATCCTCTGCCTGTCCCCCAACACCTCCGCCTGCCTCAAGCCCCCCGCCTCCCTCTCGGGAACCTGGACCATCCACCCAGACGGCCGGTTCGGTAACCAGATGGGGCAGTATGCCACGCTCCTGGCCCTGGCCCAGCTCAACAGTCGCCGGGCCTTCATCCTGCCCGCCATGCACGCCGCCCTGGCCCCCGTGTTCCGCATCACCCTGCCGGTGCTGGCGCCCGAGGTGGACAGCCGCACGCCCTGGCGGGAGCTGGAGCTCCACGACTGGATGTCCCGGGAGTACGCCCGCCTGAGGGACCCCTTGCTGAAGCTCACCGGCTTTCCCTGCTCCTGGACCTTCTTCCACCACCTCCGGGAGCAGATCCGCAGGGAATTCACGCTGCACGACCACCTTCGGCGAGAGGCCCAGGGTCTGCTGAGCCGGCTCCGCCTGGGCCCCACCGGGGACCGCCCTCGAACCTTCGTGGGCGTCCACGTGCGCCGCGGGGACTACCTGCGGGTCATGCCCCACCGCTGGAAGGGGGTGGTAGGCGACCGCGCTTACCTCCGGCAGGCTATGGACTGGTTCCGGGCACGGCACGAAGACCCCGTCTTTGTGGTCACCAGCAACGGCATGGAGTGGTGCCGGGAAAACATGGACACGTCCCGTGGGGATGTGATCTTTGCCGGCGACGGGCAGGAGGGCTCGCCGGGGAGGGACTTCGCGCTGCTCACGCAGTGCAACCACACCATCATGACCATTGGCACTTTTGGCTTCTGGGCCGCCTACCTGACCGGTGGGGACACCGTCTACCTGGCCAACTTCACCCTGCCCGACTCCAACTTCCTGAAGATCTTTAAGCCCGAGGCTGCCTTCTTGCCCGAGTGGGTGGGCATTAACGCAGACTTGTCTCCCCTCCGCTCGTTGGCTGGGCCTTGAGCAGCGGGGAGACTTTCTGGAATAGCTCGGGCCAGCGTTCTGGGTCTCCGGGGGCCTAGCGGCTTCTGGAGAAGCTTGTGGTAGCCCCGTAGCAGGCGGGCACCCATTTCTAGAGTAATCCTAGTTGGCTAGACTTGGAGAAAGAGGACTTGGAGAAAGAGAAACCTAGGGGCTTTCTGTAACTGCCTGGACGTTCTAGAACCAGCAGGGGATCTTTTCCTGAGGCCTGGCAATGTCCAGAGAGGCTCACGTCAGTTCTGGAAGGCAATGCCTTACCCACTGTTCCCAGCACGGATCCAGGGTACTTCTGGACGGCTTCACCCCAAAAACGGAGAACTCCCCCCCCCTTCTAATGTTGCCTCTGGTCTTTTCTAGAAGAGAAGGACAATCTTCAGGACTGAAAGAACTTAGGGGTAGTCCACAGCAAGCACTCATCCACTCCCCTGCTGTGTTTCTGGAGTGGTTCTAGAGAAGGCCAGGTCTCAGGCCTGTGGAGAATCCTGCAGGGCTCCCCCAGAGGGGATGAGGTTCTGGAATTCTAGGAGGATCTCAGGAAGGGAACACTCAGAAGTTCAACACCTCAGCCACTGCCAGAAAGACTGGCAGAACACAAAGTGTCTGTCCCGTGAGGTGGGAAATCTGTCCAACCTCTCAGCCTCTGAGAAAAAGAAAGACAAAGGCCCGTTTTTGAAATTTAAAAAGAAAAAAAAATATGGTTTTTTTTTTTTAATTTTTTTTTCAACGTTTATTTA